CACAAGAATCGCTTGAATCTGGGAGGCAGAGGTTGCAGTGAGCCGAGACTGTGCCATTGCACTCCAGCCTAGGTGATAGAGCAAGACTCCATCTATTTCTCTCTCTCTCTCTCTCTCTATACACACACACACACACACACACACACACACACACACACACACACACATATATATATAAAATATATAAAAAAATTATATATGTAATATATTTTCAGTATTTGTTCATGGAAAGGCTTTTATTGACTAAAGCCTTTGATTGACTTTTATTGGCCAAAGCAGCAAAATGAAAGTGGAGGAGATTATCTATCTATCTATCTATCTATCTATCTATCTATCTATCTATCTATCTATCTATCTATCTATGTATCTATTGTTTTTATGTGTAGAGAGCATCCATGAAAAGAGATACAATGTGTTGGCAGCAGTGGTTGCTTTTAGGAAGAGTGGTTGGGGAGCAGGGATTGGAAGGCGATCTATTTCTTTATACTGTTTAAAATTTTTACCGTATGCATACTATTAGAAAAAAAGGAGTGCTGAGATCTACATGGGTTATGGGTTGAATTATGTCTTCATCCCATATTCTTCCATTGTGGTCCCAATCCCAGGTTATCTCAGATTGTGACCATATTTGGAAACAGCGTCTTTGCAGGTGAGGAAGTTAAGATGAGGTCATTAGGGTGGGCCCTACTCAAAAATGACGGCTCTTATAAAAAAAGGAAATTTGGACACAGAGATAGATATACATGTGGGCAGAACACTATGTAGATTGGAATTATGTAGCCACAAGCCAAGGAACCACCAGAAGCTAGGAGAGAGGCCTGGAATAGATCCTTTCCCAACTTCTTCAGAGGAAGCATGACCTCGTCAACACCTTGGTTGCATACTCTAGCATCCAGGATGGTGAGGCAATACAATTCTGTTGTTTAAGCTATGCATTTTGTGGTATTTTGTTATGGCAGCCCTAGGAGCCTAACAGAACACATGAAAAATGTTAGCAGAAACTGTAAAGGAAGGATTTGAATGGAGAAAGGGAGACACAGTGGGAGGCAGTGGGCACAGTGGGAGGCAGTGAGCACTAGCAGGGTGGATCCATCCAGGACCCTTGTGCCTGCTCCTTTGCCCTTCTCCCCTCCTGGCCACTGTCCCCAGCTCCTGGCTGAGCATGCTGCTCATGGCACCTGGCCTTTTTGGATCTCCAGGAACAACAGTCCTTGTGCCCCAGGTGCGTTCAGCTGATTCATGTGAGGTGACTTGATCAGCGACAATGCCCCATTCAGGACGGCCCACCTGGAAGAGGCCCTGGGGTCAGCTTAACTGTGGAGTTTGTGAGCAAGTCTCTTATCCACAAGCCTCATCCTGAAACCCCAAATTTGTCAGACTGGTTCAGAGTTCTCCAAGCACAGCAAGGAAAGTAAATTATGTAAGGATGACTGACAGTCATTTGTCCTATCAGAGAGGGGTCCTTCAGAGATGCCACGGTAGTTTATGAGGATGCCATATCTGGGCCTCAGTGGTTCGAATGGGAGTGAGTTTAGGGTTGTGCATTGCTCCTGTGGTGCCCATGGAGACTTCCCTTGGAGCACCATCCTGCCCTGGACTTGGTTCCTCACTGGAGAGGGAGTTACCTCCTCTAGCTCCACAGATGGCTACCCATGGCCTGAACAAAGGTTCACTCCAAGGGAGGCACCTTTGGCAAGGCTCTGCCCCTACCCAGCTTCACTCCAGAGCAGCCTGAGGCATGGACTGCCAGGTCTGGGCAGCACAGGTGATAAAGGGCTACCCTCTGGAGTGGGACGGCTGGATGGCAGTGACCTGCCTCCCTGGTTTGTGGTGGTAGTGTGCAAACAGGCACCTTGAGTCATCAGGGGAGTATTCTGGCTCCAAGGAAACCCTGTAAGGACACTTTGATCCCACTCAGAGACTTTTTCTTCAGGAATCCGTCTTGGGTCTTTCTCCAAGGAGTCTGCTTCAGTGAGGGCTTTCCCCTGCTTAACATAAACGGTGCTCCAGAGACTTCCCCACATCTCAGCTAAGCCAGCGAAGGAGGGGTTTGGGGTGGGCTGCCTCGTCTGATGACCCCGGGCCGAGCTGTCCTTGAGGCTCATCATGGAGCCTTCCTCTGACTTTCATTGACTGCGTCTCTTTGGACACACAGCGACCACTGTGTTTGGTGTTTAGCACCTGCTGGTGAGTACAGTGGTGCAGGATCCTTGCTCTTTTCAGCCAAGGAAATCCAGCCCTTTTTACCTCATCACTTAGTTGGTCTCTCGAGACACTGTATCTCTTGATCTTTTAGGTCGATGGCTTATCTTGTGCTGGGTTTTAATCTGTGAGAAGCTTAAGGCCTTTCAGAAGTAGTTGGGGTATAAATAAACACACATGAAAGCCATGCTTCCCCTGGGTTGTTATTCGAATCACTGCAGCAGCTCTGAAAGGAAAGGCATGTGGTGATTACAGGAAATCGTGCTAGAGATTTAAAAAGCACATTTCTGTGGTTTTTAGCAACAAAAGAAAGATTCAGCACCAACTCTGATGCACAGTCCACTGTTCAAACTTCCTTAAAAGAAGAGTGTTTATAGTATGGCCTCCTCACCATAGTGCTGGGTGACACGAGGTGACCTCCCTCCTCTCCAGGCAAAATAGAAAGCAATGACCCTGGGATGATCAAGGGTTTTGATTTGCTTGTGTATGTGCTGTCCTGGCAAGCCTGAAATCAGCGAGTTTAACTTTGGGCCTCTGCCTTTCATCCTCCTCCCAGAAGCTTCTATGATACACCCTTTCCACCCTTCTTTTCAAGATTTTTCTTGAAAAACGCCCCCTTTTTCAGGTAAAATGAAAGCTCCATTAAAGGCAAGGATTTTGTCTTGTTCATGAGTGTATCTTCAGTGCTTGGAACAGTAGGCATATAATAACTATTTATTGACTGAATTAATGAATAGAAGAAGGGATGAATGAATGAACTTTAGGATCATTTAGTACTGTGACTTGCCTTCATTCTGTCCTTGATTAGTTGACACAGAATGAACTTTCATGATACCTTTCATCATCCCTTACTCCCTTCCATTCTTTTACAAAGAGAGATCTGCCTCCTTCTTTGGTTAAGGTTGCATCACAGGCACAGGAAATACTAGAGTAACTGAAGGAGGTAACTATATGGAAGGAGGGATGCTGTGGTTTGAATGTGTCCCCTCCAAAATTCAGATGTTGCTAGTGTGATGGTATTAAGAGGTGAGGCCTTTAGGAGGTGATTAGGCCATGAGGGCTCCTCTTTATAAGGATAAGGGCCTTTATGGGATTAAGGCCCTTATAAAAGAGGTGTCATGCAGCCATTCCGTTAGCTTGCCCTTCTGTCTTCTTCCATGTGAAAATGCAGCAGGAAGGCCCTCACCAGACCAAAGGCCAGTGCCTTGATCTCGGACTTCCCAGCCTCCAGGATGGTGAGAAATACGTTTCTGTTCCTTATAAATTACCCAGTCTCAGGCATTTTGTTGTAGCAGCACAAATGGACTGAGACAAGGGGCACGCAGTGGGTCTGTGCCACCTTGGCCCATGGGAGGCAAACCAGGAAGCCTTGTCTCCTCGCTACTCAGAATGAGAACATGTGAAAGGAGAAAGGGAGTTGGGGCTGGGTAGGGTCATTTGCTGACCTGAGACCTCTAATGGTTGTCTCTGGAGAGTTGAAACCTCTTGCTAAAGACCTCATAGTCAGTCTTTGCTGCAACACAGATGGACCAAGCCTGTCTGTATTGCAGCAAAGAGTGAGGGGATATTCCAGCAAAGGCAGCATCCTGTATGCTGATTACTGGGGAAGCACAAGAAAGGGGAGCTGTCAGAGGCTATAGAGCTGCATCTATACATGGGGAAAGTGAGAGAGAAAATTTCACAGGGTCATCAGTGTTGTCTGGAGCCTCGTAGTGGGTGGCCAGCCCCACTACCCATCTGATAGCAGGAAACCTACCTCCCCTTTCTGACCCAGCTCTCCAGTGCCCAGGAGAATTCCCTACTTTGTAAAATGAATTCTCCTGGGCACTGGAGAGCTGGGTCAGAGCTGGAGAGGTAGGGTTCCTGGCATCAGGATCTTGAATCTGGATTTTCCCAAAAGATGTTCCAACGAAGCTTCCTCTTATGTTGTGTGCCTCAAATATGTTTGGGAAACCTGACATACTCTGTTCCCCATCAAGGAGACCCACGTCGCACGTTAGTATATCAAAGACTCTGAGAAGTTCTGTAAAATTAAAACCTGTTTAATTTTCTTTTCTTTTTTTTTTTTTCGAGACAGAGTCTTACTGTCGTCCAGCCTGGAGTGCAGCGGCACAATCTCGGCTCACTGCAACCTCTGCCTCCCGGGTTCAAACGATTCTCCAGCCTTAGCCTCCCGAGTAGCTGGGACTATAGGCACGTGCCACCATGCCCAGCTAATTTTTGTATTTTTAGTAGAGACATGGTTTCACCATGTTGGCCAGGCTGGTATTTAATTTTCTTTAGCCTTCATTTCCCATTTTTTCACATTAACTCCCATTAATATCCCATGGATCTAATGACGCTGTTAGCTGGCCATGCCGCACTGATGGTTAGAAAAGATGTGGATAATGCATTGGTTCCTGCCCAGTCCTTTATGTAATTGGAACCCACTGGTACGCGTGTCTGTGAGTCCCCAGCCCTCTCTCTGCCCCACCTCCTAGCTTCTTCAGTTGTTCCTCACAAGCTAGCTCTTGGGTTCCCTCACCTCTTGGTCACACTCATGGAAGAGTTCCAGGTTGTCTGTGTCCTCCATAAGGCAGTTCCCTAGGTGCATCTGATTGGGGCTGATTTGGGAAGGACTGTTCACCTCCTTTTCTTCGGACGCTGTCCAGGGATTTGTGTTCCTTTTTAAAGTAGCACTATCCATGTCCTTACATAATGAGCAGAGAGGTGAGGGTATTTCCAGTCATGGACAAAAGAAATAAGATGGCAGCAAATACTTGCCTTGTTAATGAACTTAAAAGAGACCTTTCTTTTAGGTCATCTTTGCTTTGAACCAGACCCTCCTGCAGCAGGAGAGCCTGCGAGCGGGCAGTCTTCAGATCCCCTACACGACGGAGGATCTCATCAAACACTATAACTGCGGGGACCTCAGCTCCGTCATCCTCAGCCATGACAGCTCCCAGGTGAGTGCCCTTTCCCTCTGCTAAGCTCAGTACACACTTAATTATAGGAATAAAAACATTACCTGGTGACATGTACATCCTATGTACAAAGGATTGAGATCATGAGGGCTCTAGAAATAAAATGGGCAGATTTAGATGTCATTGAATGAGGCACTGCAGCTAATGAAAGTCTTACAAACCTTGTAAGTACAGAGAGGAGCACTGATTAGGGCTAATTCCAGGATTCCAGCCAAAGGATGAAGCTTCAAAGGATTTAACAGCGGGCCACATGAACAAGCCTTGAGGAAGGGAAGGGTTCTGAGTCTGATGACCTCCTGGCTGACTTAGGTCACACTTTTGCAAAATGATGGAGCAGAACTTTGACTGCAGTTTCAGTGGCCTCTAGGAACATGTGAGCAGGATATAACTATGTATCCACAGAATGCTTACAGGATTGGGGCATCAGAGCTGGGAAGGCTGCTAGCATTTGCAGACGTGGAGTGGATCATTGCATCCTGTGGTATTGCAGGATGAGTGTGGCTGAACTGGTGGATTGAGTGTTTGTCCAGCTCAGCCTTACCTGTGGGCCACTGAGTGGAAGGAAGCAACTGGTCAGGCCTCAGAAGATCATGGTCTCCTTCCAGGAGGGAAGTGGGACAGATCTTTGTTATGCTTTTATCAACAGGCTTCCAATGGGACAAGCCATGGTCCCTTCCCCTCCTCTCTAGGACTACATGCAAATGGCAAAAATCAGCTAAACTTCTGAGGTAGGGGATTGTGTTGTTTCCCCCACCTAGGACTGGTGTCCGCATGCATGAGGACACTGGAGAAGGGAGATAGGAGCTCGTGGGTGTGGGTCATGCTGTATAGGTCTATGTTAAATTTGGGGACCCAGTCATAAGGAGACGTGTGAACATGAGAGCTGAAGGAGGAATAGCAGCAATGGGGAGAAGGACAGTAGAGGCTGAGTGCAGCATCAGTCCAGAAAGGTGACATTTCATTAATGACAGAAGCCTCAAAAGACGTAATGAGCATCTCCAAAAATCTAGAGGAAGAGGAGGTCAAATCAAGATAAAGTGAAGCAGGAGGAAAGGGAGAACAAGAAACACATTAAAGAAGGAAAAATAGAGTTGTTGGTGGTGATAGATCTTACCTGCACACTTGCTGGGGGTAGGGAAAGGGGAAGAAAAGTCAAGATCAATTGGGAAATTGACATTTGTAGCAGCAGAAAAAAGTTAATGTGGGTGGAGGATTTGGTCATTACGTGGGCAAATGGTGAGGCTGGTGGAGCAGATAATACAGATGTCTTATGCATTTCTCTCCTGTGGCTTTCCCATACCTGTCCTGCCCACAGGGCCCCTACAGGAGGTCAGGGAATGTGCTGCCACTGTGAGTGAGGGCTAGGCTGGCCAGGAGGGAGTGGTGCAGGCTTTGGGTGATGTTTGGAATTTAGAAGGTGGAGCAGGATGTCAGAGGGAGGTCACCCTGTGTGTCTGACGCTGCCTTTGTAGAGGGGCTGGTAGAGAGGGGGCTCTGCTGAAGAGAAGAGATTTTGGGAAATGGTCAGGGAATCTTACATAAATGACATGATTTAAAAAAAAAGATGACAGAGTAGAAGATGAAGGCTGTCGATGTGAAAATGAGAGAATATAATTTCGAGGCAATAGCGAAAGGAGATCTGTTATCCATAAGATGGAAGTTCATGCTATGTTACAGAGTCTGAGGACTTTGGAAAGCTTTTTGAGAGGCTACTGGAAGCAGCAGCAGCAGGCAGGGTAGATACTGACCAAGATAATGGGTAACATTGTTAAGTCCCTGGGTGGAGGAGACAGCATGCACCCAGGGGGAGAAGTGGGAGGCTGAGGTTTGGGACGCCAGACAGCTGAGGGGGTGGGGAGAAAACACAGAGGGCTAGCCTTACCGGTAGCTCCTGTGCTGCAAGAACCATGCTGATTGTCACAATTTTGATGCAATTGCATCCTGTTATTAGCCAAAATACTGAAACTGGCTAACATGTATACCAGCATCAAGTGAAATATTTGCCAGGTGGGCAAAGAACACTGGAGAAAGCAAGGGAGAGAAATAGGAAGTGGAGAAATAATGAAAATGTAAAGTAGAGGATTTATAAAACATTTAAGTGTTCATACAAATTTCATGTTTTTGGTAATAGAATCTAAAATATGTAACTATATAAGACTATTTTTATAAGAAAAGCATGTGTGAATCACACAAGTTAAAACTATGGATGTGCTGCGCAGACAGTGTCTTTTTTTTTTTTTAATAAACACATGGCATCAGACAGAGCCATTTAACTATTATGCTATTAACATTGTAAATAGCATAAGAGTTCATTCAGTGCATTTCACTTAATATTTTTTTCACTTTGGTTACAGGGAATATGATATAGTTGGAAACATAGCAGACGGGAAACTCCAAGAATGGTGTCACTCTTCTCTTGACAACGTCTTGACCATCTAGTTGGGGGATTTGATGCTCCAATGAAGTAACTTTGTTAATAACTCCGTTGCCCCTTTTCTTTTCTCTTTATTTTGGTGGAGGTTCCCAATTTTATTAATGCCACGCTACCACCTCAGGAGCTCATCACTGCTCAGGAGATTGACAGCTACTTACGCCGGGAGCTGATCTATAAGCGGAATGAGAGAATAGGGAAGCGGGTGAAGGCCCTTTTGGAGGAGTTCCCTGACAAAGGCTTCTTCTTTGCCTTTGGAGCTGGTGAGTAGTGGGTTACCTCTCAGTAGCCTCTGAAATCTGAGGCTTCTCCCAAGAAGGGAATGTTGAGGTGAACCCCCGTTTAGGGCCTGTGCTAGTCATGAAGCAAGATGAAGGGAGTGACACCTTCCTTGACTTATTTCAGTTGCAGAGTGGCTCCAGCTGGGGACGGAGCATCCAGCATGGTTGAAATGTTGCTGGATGAGCTGGTGCATGTGACATCACCCATAGCTCTCTCCACACATGAGCCAGCTGGGAAAGCATTTTTGTCCTCTGAATTTCATACTTAATCCCAACTTCTTCCTGGTACTTTTCGCTTTGTAAACTTTCACTAAAAATATATCTGTCTTTACTCTTCTACCTGACAATGAGCCTCCCAAGTCCAAGGCCTGACACATCAGCTGTTACTGACTGTTAACAACATACATGGAGAGAGAATAGGACAATTATTTTCTTTTGTGGGCTTCTTGAAATAAATTTTAACCCCCGGAGTGACTCTGACACAGAATTCTTTGCAGCCTCAGGAATTGAGGATAAAAATGCCAGAGGCTGGACAGTATGCAGAAAGATCATTTGCTGGGCTGGGCTTTGTTGTCTCATATTTTTCTGCTAACTTCATAAACTTAAACAAGTCATGTCCCTCAGTTTTTTTTACCAGTAAGATAGGGGGTTGGAGAGAAGCAACTCTGAAATGGCGGGGTGAGGGCCTCCAAAAACCTGTTCTTCCATAACAGCAATAAGAACACTGGAGAAAATAGTCAAAATCAAATTTTCCACAGCTCTGGAAATTAATTAAAGGTTTGCAACAATCCTAGAAGTGTTTATTTAAGAAAACTGGATGAATTTTGATAGAAGCAGTGGGCTTTGTGGCATTTTAACTTGTTCTGTTTTTATCTCCCTTTTCCCAGCTTCACAGTAGTCTTGAAAATCAGGAGCCTTGAACTACAGTAACTGTGAAAACCATTTGCCTAATGGTTACTGGAGGGGACAGAATGGGTTCAAAGTTCCTCCAAAGCTCCATCCTCAAAGAATCATCACCATTTGACATGTCCAATAGCTCCCTGAAATTTCCATTCCCAAGCTTGTCTTCATTTGAACTGACTCAGAGCTTGCTCTGTGTGAATAGCCCTATTCTTACGGTGTTTGTTGAAAACAATCAGTGGCAGCAGTTTAACATCATAGTTGCTGGAAATAGCAATATTAATTGAAGCTTACAAGAGGCTGCCCAAAAAACTTAAAAGGAAAATACCATAGGGGATTTTGAAAAGCTCTAAAATATTCCTAGAAAGTCACATGCAGGCCGGGCGTGGTGGCTCAAGCCTGTAATCCCAGCACTTTGGGAGGCCGAGATGGGCAGATCATGAAGTCAGGAGATCCAGACCATCCTGGCTAACCCGGTGAAACCCCGTCTCTACTAAAAAATACAAAAAAACTAGCCAGGCGAGGTGGCGGGCGCCTGTAGTCCCAGCTACTCCAGAGGGTGAGGCAGGAGAGTGGCGTAAGCCTGGGAGGCAGAGCTTGCAGTGAGCTGAGATCTGGCCACTGCACTCCAGCCTGGGCGACAGAGCAAGACTCCGTCTCAAAAAAAAAAAAAAGAAAAAAAAAAAAAGAAAGTCACATGCATGAGAAGGGCAGTGCACAGTCCAGGAAGGACTTGAGAAGGTCCTAATCTCTCTCACCTCTGGCTGATCTTGAGGCTCTGTGTAAGCAGGGTGTGAAAGCTAAGGCAGGGTCATAAATTGCCTGCTGAAGCATCAAAGACATGCCCCCAAACTCACACAGCCCCTCTGCAAAGGTTGGGAAACTTACCAGTTCAAGGAATTTAAGGAAATCTCTGTTCAGTCATTAGCCAGCCACTAAGCTAACTGAGCAGATCCTTCAGTGATCACACACAACAAAGAATACAGACTTTAGAGACTTAGTCCTAGAAAATCACTGAACAAACAGCAACAACAATGCACCTAGGAAGAGGGGACAGGAGAAAATGATTTCCAGAGTTGGTATGTTATGTTATTTAAATGTCTAGTTTTCAATAAAAAACAATTATAAAACACAGAGAAAACTAGAAAGTATGGCCCAGGGAAAAACAAGCAACCAATAGAAGCTGTCCTTGAGGAAGTTAGTATCTTGGACTTACTAGAAAAAGACTTTAACACTAGTTATTATGAATATGTTCAAAAACTAAAAGAGGCCGGGTGTGGTGGTTCGTGCCTATAATTCCAGCACTTTGGGAGGCTGAAGCAGATGGATCACTTGAGGGCAGGAGTTTGAGACCAGCCTGACCAATATGGCAAAACCCTATCTCTACTAACAATACAAAAACTAGCCAGGCGTTGTGGTGCGCACCTATAATCCCAGCTACTTGGGAGGCTGAAGCAGGAGAATTGCTTGAACCTGGGAGGCAGAGGTTACAGTGAGCTGAGATCACGCCACTGCACTCCAGCCTGGGCCACAAGAGTGAAACTCCATCTCCAAAACAAAAAACAAAAAACAAAAACCAAAAAATAAAAAACAAAAAACCCTAAAATAAACCACGTCTAAAGAATTAAAGGAAAGTTTGAGAACAAATCTCACCAAATACAGAATATCAATAAAAATATAAAAATTATTTTAAAAGAACCAAATAGAAATTCTGGATTGAAAGTACAGGAACTGAAATGAAAAATTCACTAGGGGGGGCTGAACAGTAGATTTGAACTGGCAGAAGAAGAATCAATATACATGAAGATAGATTGATTGAGATGATTCAGTATGAGAAAGAGAAAGGAAAAGGAATGAAGAAAAATGAATAGATCTTCAGATACCTGTGAGACACCCTCAAGTGTGCCAATGTACACCTAATGGGAGTCTCAGAAGACAGGAGAGAAAAAAAAAAAGAAATAAAAAGAATATTTGAATTTAAAATTGCTCGAAAATGTCTCAAATTTGATGAAAAATATTACTCTGCACATTCAATCAATGAACTATAAGTTATATAAAATCAAAACGTTTCACACCAAGGCATATCATAGCCAAACTGTCAAAAGCCAAAGACAGAGAATCTTGAAAGCAGTGAGAGCAAGGCAGACAAAGGATCCCCAATAGGATTAACAGCAGATTTCTCATCAGAAGCCACGCAAGCCAGAAGGCTCTGGGGCACATACTCAAAATGCTGAAATAAAAGACTGTCAACAAACATTTCCACATCCAGCAAAACTCAAAAATGAAGGAGAAATATGTTGCATGTGAGCTGAACAGAATTTGTATTCTGCTGCTGTTGGATAAAGTCTTCTTTAAATGTCAATTAGATCAATTTGATTGATGATGCTCTTCAGTTCAACTATATTCCCTATCTGATAATTCCAGAATCTCTGTCATGTCTGAGTCTGGGTCTGATGCTTTCATTGTTTCTTCAGATTGTAATTTTTCTTGCCTCCCAGCGTGCCTTGTAATTTTTAATTGAAAGCTGGATATGATGTATCTGGCAATGAGAAGTAAGGGAAATATGTTTTTAGTGTGAGGGTTTATGTTAATCTTTCTCAGAGTTGGGCTGTTTAATGTTTTGCTGTGGTCTGAATGTTCCTAAAAACTTGTGTGTTGAAACTTAATTATTATTGTCATAGTATTAAGAGGTGGGGCCTTTGGGAAGTGATTAAGACATGAAGGCTTCACATTCATGAGTGGATTCATGCTTTTAAAAAGACTGGAGGAAAGTAGCGTAGGCTCTTTTTTTGCCCTTGTGCCTTCCACCATGTGAAGATCTAGCATTAGCCCCTCCTGCCATGTGAAGACTCAGGAAGAAGGCCCTCATCTGGGCATGGTGGTGCATGCCTGTAATCCCAGCACCTTGGGAGGCCACGGCAGGAAGATCACTTGAGCTCAGTAGTTTGAGACCAGCCTGGTCAACACAGCGAGACCTCACTTCTACAAAAATTAAATAAAAATTTAGCTAGGCATAGTTTGCCTGTAGTCCCAGCTACTTGGGAAGCTGAGGTGAGAGGATCACTTGAGCCCTGGAGGGTGAGGCTGAAGTGAGCTATGAACATGCCACTGCACTCCAGCCTGTGTGACAGAGTAAGACTCTTGGTATTTAAAAAACAAAAAGGCTCTCACCAGGCACTGAATGCCTATGCCTAGATTTTGGACTTCCCAGCCTCTAGAACTGTGATAAATAAATTTCTATTATTTATAAATGACCCAGTCTGTGGTATTTTGTAATGGCAACACAGACTAAGGCATGTTTGATGTACCTCTGAATCCCAGAGGCTTCAGTTTCCTCTAGTGTCCTCTAGTTTTTCCGTCTTTGTGTTTTCTTAAGAACGTTTCTTAAATAGAGTCTGAGTCTTGCTGCATTTTCACCTGTAATCCACTATTATTTTACTGGAGCCCTACTGATGTGATGCTAAAGTGAAGACACCATTTCATACTCGGTTATAATAAAAAAGATGGATAGTAAAAGGTTTTGGTGAAGACATGGAGAAACTGGCACCCTCATACATTGCTACTGGGAATGTAAAATGGTGTAGCCATTTTGGAAAACTGTTTAGCACTTTTTCAAAATTAAACATGGGGCTACCATTTGATCCAGCATTTCAACTTCCAGATATATGCCTAGAAGAATTGAAAACATATATCCACACAAAAATTTGTACACAGATGTTCATGGCAGCGTTATTTATAATAGCCAAAAAGTGGAACCAAACCAACTGTCCATCAACTGACACGGATAAATAAAAGGTGATATATATATATATACACAATGGAATATTATTTGGCCATAAAAAGGAAAGAGGTACTGATATATGGTACTACATGGATGAACTTTGAAAACATTATGCTAAGTGAAAACAGCCAGTCATAAAATCATATGATTATATTTATATGAAATGTCCAGAACAGGCAAATCTATAGAGACAGAAAGTATTCATAGATTAGTAGGTGCCAGGGGCTGGGGTCAGAAGGTTGAAAATGTTTTAAAATTAGATAGTGGTCGTGCTTGCACGACTTTCTGAATATGCAAAAAAACCAACGAATGGCATACTTTAAAAGAATGAATTTTATGTTATATGAATTATATTCAAATATTAATAAAACTTATAGACATATGAGGGGTTTGGGTCCCACATCATGCTCATTGAAAAGTTCTGCCACAAAACAAATTGCAGTTTGTGCCCTCAGCAGTGCCTGTGAGTATGTGGCAGTTTTCTTCTTCTGTAAGTCGTGTGTTTCATGTCATGTGCACATTTCTACTGTCTCAACAAATGGCTTCCTGTAACAAAGCTATTAGCCTGGGCCTCACTCTTGAGGCACCATAACAGTGATGCAGGCGCCAGATGAGAAAGTTAGGAAACAGAGCCAGTGGTGGTGTCCCAGTGCACCACCCTGGGTCTGCGTGGATGGAAGGTGCCCAGGTGCTGGAGTGTGGGTTTTTGCTTTCCACTCCTGCCAGACTTAGGTGAGCTCCCAAAAGCTTCCCCTATGTCCAGTGCAGGGGTAATGGGGTGCTGGGGAGAGGGGAAAGGTCGACTGAGTTCTGGGCTGGTGGGAGGCTGGAGCATAGCTTGGTCTGAGCAGTTCGGTGGGTGGGCCCTCGTGGTGGGGGTTGTGCCAGGCAGGTGGCACAGGCAACACCAACACCTGAGCTTTCCCATTACTCAGGGCTCGATTTGTGATACCGATGCAGTGCTAGATGGGGGCGTCGGGAGTGCCCAGGGGCTGTGACCCCCATCTAGCACCGGCTCCTTCTAGGGCAAAGTTACCTTCCTGTAGCCGCTTTCTCTCTGGGCCTTCTGAAGGCTAAGTTGAGCAGAGGAAACTACAGAAATTGCTCCCAAACACATTACTGTGTGCTTTTAAAACTTAAAAGCTGTGTGGTTAGCGAACTTTTAATTGCAAAATGAGGATATCTGAAAACAGAAAGTACTGGAGTTTTAAAATCAAGCAGCAACTTTTGTCATGGGGATGTAGATATAAAATGCGAAGATTACAAATGGAAATCACCTTTGCAGTAGAAGAAAAATTGAAGTCAGAAGTGCTAAGTGGAAACAATAATCACTTGTTCTAAATTGCCAGTTCCTTATTTGCAAATGAACAACCTAGGATGAGTGGTGCAAGACACGACTTTTTTTCTTATTTAGGTGTCGATCTTAAATCAGCTCATGCTGATTTTAGGCTCCTGTTTGCCAGGGTTACTTCTCCAGTGGCCTCCTCTCCTACCCCACATTTCTAGGTTACAGCTATCACCCCTGCACTGGCCGCTGTCTAGGCTGGTCTAGGCTGCGGGGAGGAGAGGGGAGGATGGGAGGGAATGGTTTTGCCAAACTTCCCTTTCTGAGCCTCTGCTGACCCATGAACCCCACCTTTGATGCATGAGGGTGAAAATGAAAGCAGGAACCATGCGCCTTCTGCTTCCTTCTTGGGGCCTATTTGCTGTACTGCCACAGGCTCCCAGGGTTCCCTGGTTGTGACTCCTGAGACCATAGTGGGTTCGTCCTATGCAGAAACCTCCAAGAAGGATAGATCTTAGATTAGGTTGCCTTTACTTTTTCTAGAAAGTGGTGATTGGGAAGTAGCTATTCCTTCGGTCCCACCAGCCTCCCTGTTTTCTCAGAGAGCACATTTGCATTTCATCCTGTAGTTGGGAATTCTCCCCTGCCCCCCCCCCCCTTTTTAAAATTGAGACAGAGTCTTGCTCTGTCATCCAGGCTGGAATGCAGTGGTGCAATCTCGGCTCACTGCAACCTCCGCCTCCCGGGTTCAAGCGATTCTCCTGCCTCAGCCTCTTGAGTAGCTGGGATTACAGGCACCCACCACCATGCCTGGCTAATTTTTGTATTTTTAGTAGAGATGGGGTTTCACCATGTTGGCCAGGTGGGTCTTGAACTCCTGACTTCAGGTGATCCACCCGCCTCGGCCTCCCAAAGTGCTGGGATTATAGGTGTGAGCCACTGTGCCCAGCCTGAATTCTTGTATTTTCTCCAGACCAGTGTCCTCACCTTTCAGGATCCTGCTCACATATCACCTCTTCTGGGAGGTCTTACCAGGTTGCAGTTTGATGTCCAGGCTCTCCCCTTAGCTGTGTGACTTCAGGTAACTCGCTGCATTGTTCTGATCTTCAGTGTCATCGTCTCTGAAATGCTACTGATGCTGCCCTGCCTGCCTTGCAGGACTGTTGGCAGGCCTGATTCCAGAAGCTCTGTGGAACTGTACTGTGCTGGACAGATAGGCAGGGGGCTAGGCAGGGTAATTTCTTGGTTCTAGGGTGTGTGTTTGGGAAGTATGATTGGTGGTCCGGGGAGCTGCAGCATTTCAGACTGTTTTTCTCACTGCAGGTCATTTCATGGGCAACAACACAGTGCTGGATGTTTTGCGGCGTGAAGGCTATGAGGTAGAACACGCCCCTGCTGGACGACCCATCCACAAGTAACCGCCCTGTGCTTCTATCTTGGCTGGGGAGCTGAGACCCTCATGGGGCTGCCTGGGCACCAGGGTGGGCTGCTATCCTGAGGAACTCCAGAGAACCCCTGCCTGGTCATTACCCCCGCACTTGACCTTACATGGACATTTGGCACCAGCTCAGCTGGCTTTGTGTGGCTGGGGTTGTGCCAGATGTGGTTGGCAGGGTGGACACTTTGGACTGCAGAGGCCTGGCCTTTTTCTCAGTGGCGTTTGGGGAGCAGGGGAAGGTGAAGGGAAGGTTGCCTAGGGGTCGAAGGGTGGGGAAAGGAGGAGTAATTAGGCTTAATGTCCAGTGTCCTTTGCCCTAGGCGTTTTGGAAGTTTTCGGGAGGCAGAGTCGGGCCATGACAGTGGTAAATACACCAGAGGGGTTGGGGTGAAGGGAGTGCATGTCTGATCCCTCTCGGGGGCAGGAGAAAGTCCCTTCTCTTTCTCTGAGCTGTTTCCTCCTCCCTAGGTTTTTTTGGTCTCTCTCTCTCTTTTTTTTTTTTTTTTTTGCCAAACTGCCCTGTGCCCCTGCAGACCCTTCTGTAAAGAACTCAGGGGGCCCTCAGCAATGCTGTGCACCCACTGGCCTCCCAACTGGTCGTCCATCCTGGTGGGCCCCAGGTGTCCTTCCCCTTCCCCTGTAGTAGTCTGCTTGGGCTGTCATAGCAACCACCACAGACTGAGTGATCAACAGAAATGCATTTCTCACAGTTCTGGAGGCTGGAAGTCCCAGCTCAAGGTGTCAACGGGACTGGTTTCTCTTGGGACCCCTTTGCTTGACGTGTAGATGGCCGTCTTCTCTTCCTGCTGGCACGTGGCATTTTTTCCCATAAGCGAGCATCCCTGGCCTCTCTTCTAGTAAGGACACTGGTCTCATTGGACTAGGGCCCTCATTTTAACTGAATCACCTCTTTAAAGGCCTTAACTCCAAATGGTCACGTTCTGAGGTACTGGGGATTGGTGCTTCAACATGTGAATGTGGGGGGCACCCATCAGCCCCTAATATCCCCTCCATTCCTCTGGCCCCCACTCCCTCCCGATCCACGGTCAGCAGCCCCCCTCTCCTGGCAGAGGTCTCCGCTGTAGCGAGAGCGCTCCAGGATGCAAACGCTCATCCCCTGACAGAGGATCCAGCAGTTGTGTCTGCCCGAAGGCCGCCCATCTCCAGCTGCCCTCTTTCTCCTCAGAAGGCCCCCCTTCACCGCACCTTGTCTCCTTGTTCCCCCTCACCCCATAATTTTTCCAGTCTCCCTCCAAGCGGGAAATCCTGGATACATCCTGGACTTCTCTTATCCCCACCTGTCTTCATGCCCTGTATTCAGTATGTCAGTACTGACCGCCCTTCACAGAGCACCTTCTAGCTTATGGAAGGGCTGACGTGAGACTGCTCATTTCCCTCCTCCACCAGGCTTTTGTCTTCCTCCAGTAAAGACTCGCTGGGATTTGTCCTTCTCCATTGCCATGGCCACCGCCCCATTCCAGGCCCTTCTCCCTCTGGTTCACTCTTCATCCTCCCGTGGGACTAATCTTTCCAGTGTCCCATATTCAAACCCTCCGTGGTTTCATATTGTTCTCTTTCAAGGTCATTGTCTTCACGCGGAGGTCTTGGCACTCAGACCTTATCCTTCCAGCACGGATCTGCTGCTTGCTTCAGAAGAGCTTCCATCCTGTCCTCGCCTCTCCACCTTTACTGACACTACTTCCCCCGTCTGAGGAGCCCTCCTCTCCTCCCCTTGACCGGGAGGATCCCGCCCCTGCCTGAGTCAGCTCTGCTGCAGGCTCACTGCCTCTCTCTTTCCTGTTCTCCTTCAGATCTGGAGGAGCCAGCCCTTAGGGGTTCTCTGTGCCCTGCAGGACTGTGGGTCTTTCCTCCCTCACTGGTCTCTGGTCCGTTCTCAGCTCTTCCTGCCGGGCTGACTGGACTGGGGTTCAACGCGCTGTCCCTCGGGTGCTGGAGAGGGCCCTACCTGGGGAGTGTGTGTGTGTGTGTGTGTGTGTGTGGTGTGTAGTGTGTGTGGAGTATGTGATGTTTGTGTGTGTGTGTCTGGTGTGTGTCTGGTGTGTGGTGTGTGTGAGGGGTGTGTGTTGTGTGTGTGTGATATTTGTGTGCAGGGTTTGTGTGGTATGTATCTAGTGTGGAATATGTATGTGCGGGGTGTATGTGTGTGTGTGTCGTGTACATGGGTATGGTGCATGTGTGGTGCATGTCTGGTGTGTGTTTTTGGTACGTGTGTGTGTGAGGGGTGTGTGTGGTATGCGGGGTGTGTAGTGTGGATGTGTGTGGTACATGTCTGGTGTGTGTGTGTGGGTATTGTGCCTGTGTGTGCTGCATGTTTGGTGTGCGTGTTTGTGTGTGTGTGGGGTATGTATGGTGCATGTCTGATGTGTGTGTTGTGTACGTGTGGGGTGTGTGTTGTGTTGTGGTACATGTGGTGTGTGTGTGTGTAGTGTGTGTGGTACGTGTGGTGTGTGTGGTATGTGTGGTGTGTGTGTATTGTGTGTGTGGGGGGGTATGTGTGGTGCATGTCTGATGTGTGTGCTGTGTATGTGTGGGGTGTCTGTTGTGGTATGTGTGGTGTGTGTGGTACGTGTGTTGTGTGTGTGTGTTCCTGGTTGTTCCCAGGCCCCTTAATTCTGCCTCTAACCCTGATACCTGCCCTTAGGGAAAGGAAGGTCAGGAATCGGTCTTTTTAGAAGCTTTCCAGGAGATTCTGATGCCCAGTGAAGGCTGAGAACCAGTGTTCTCACTTTCCTGGGGAGGAAAAGAACATTTATTGGTGGATCATCAGGTGGTAGCCAGGTTTATATGGGCTCTCTGTTAATACTCAAAATCAGCCTGAAGAAACTGTGAAAGGCCACACAATTAACCAGGACCAGGAAATAACCCAGACCCATCCACCGCCTAAACCTTTTCTTTCTACCCTTTCTTCTCCCACCTTTTATTCCTAGCCTCTATGTCTTTGTTCATGCAGTTTCCTCTGCCAGAGATTCTTCCCCTACCCACACTACTCCCAGTTCTCTCTATCAGAATCTGTGAGATCCAGCACAACTGTCACATCTTCCTCCATTGCTCCAGCCTGGGTTCATCCTGTGCATGACCCCAAGGAACCTACAGTTTGTGCAAGAGCTCTTTCTTTCTTCTACAGCCTTCTGGACAAGGATCTAATTTTCAAAATTGGATTTCCAGGAGTACCTATCCTGGCATCTGGCACATGATGGGATCTCAAATAGGATTGATTGCTGATGTGCTACTATCATTGCCGGTGCTGCTCACGTGCATTCATTTATTCAGCCAGTGGGGGACCTGAGGGGTGAACGTGCATATAGTGGTCCCAGGTGAAGCCATGAGAGAGGATGAGGTCTCCAAAGGAGCTCCTGTTCAGGAAGAAGGGACAGGGTCCTGGGAAGCTAAGGACCCAGGGAAGAGGGTTGGGGGAGAATGCCCACAAAGAGGGGCTGGCAAGGAGGACCAGGGCAGTAGGGGGATACCTGTTTCCTTCTTCCCCTCCTCGGTAGCCATATGGTAGTCCTTAAGGGATGATTCTGGTCATGTGGAACTTGAATCCAGGGCAGGCTGGTGTGGCTGGGGACATGAGGGCTGTTAACTGGTGATCTAGCTTACTTCAGGCCCTGCCAGCTCCCTTAGTCTTGGGGTAAGCCAGTATTGGGGAGACAGAGATGGGTGTGCATGTTGGGGTGTGGGGAGGGCAACTAGCAGCTGCCACTCTCCGCTTGTCAGCAGACTCGAAAACACAGGAAATGCTCCTGTGAGGCTGCTATTCTTTCAGCAGAGAAGAGAAAGAGATGGGGTTCCTGTTAGGCTAATCTGCAGAGGGCTTAGCCAGTTCCTCCCTCCTCCCCCTGGGATAATGGATACTATGTTAGTTTTCTATTGCTGCTATAACAAATTATCATAAACTCAATGGCTTAGAACAACACAGATTCATTATTTTATAGTTCTGGAGATCAGAAGTGTGACACAGGTCTCACTGGCTGAAATTAAGGTGTGGGCTTGGCTGCATTCCCTTCTGGAGGTTCTAGATAATTTGTTTTCTTTTCCTTTCCAGCTTCTAGAGGCTGCCCACATTCCTTGGCTCGTGGAGCCTTCCATCTTCAAAGCCAGCAATGTTGCATCTCTATAACCATTCTTCCATAGTCATATCCCCCGCTGACCACAGAAGGGTTCTCTGCTTTTAAGGGCCCATGTTATTAGATTGGGCACATCTAGATAATGTGGGCTACTCTCCTCATCTTAAGGTCCTTAACTTAATCACACCTGCAAAGTTCCTCTTACCATGTAAGGTAACGTGTTCAGAGCTTCCAGGGGCAAGATCATGGACATCTTTGGAGATCTGGCAGATGTCCCTTTGGTTACACAGTGGGATGCTCTAAGGTTCTGATCAGCCCTGCTAGGGTTTATACAGCTTCACTCATTCTCAGAGGACTGGGAGAAAGAGGGATGCACCTGAAGTAAGGATCTACTGAGTGCTCAGCACTGTGTGAAGCATGGTGTTTGGGCTGTTTTAATCCTCACAGCAACAAAGTAGGATAGGTTAATTTTATACAAGAAGCAGAGGCTCAGAAAGGTCAATTATCTTGTCTAAGGCTCCAAGCCTGGGGTCTTTTCCTTGTCAACCAGTGTGTTTCTTTCTTGGAGACTTCTATGGAGCGAGGAGGCTGCGTGGAATGCAGGTAGGGGGCAAATAGGCTATCAGCACAAGGGGGTAGCCCTATATTGTAGCCAAAATGACCATGGGCTTAGCCTTTGTGGGTAGAAGTTTAGCTAAACTGTGAGAATCCGGGTGGGTGAAAACATGATAATCTAGATCTTGAGCCTGTGACGGGATCCAGCCCAGAGGCTCTATGATGGATTGGGTGTGTTCAGCAGCTGGGATTTTCTATTTGAGGCAGAAGAGCAGTCACCTCTATTGACCTAGAGACCCTTAAACCCCTGTCTGCGTCCATGTGAACATTTGTCTGTAGGATCTCCCTGGAGATTACAGTGACACTAATTTCTACTCTCTATATTTTCTACAATGAGAATGGATTAGCTTTATGACGTGAAAAAAATCTCAACAATGAATGTTACTTAAAAACAGCAAAGAATTGGCCAGGTGCGGTGGCTGATGCCTATAATCCCAGCATTTTGGGAGGCTGAGGCGGGTGGATCACGAGGTCAGGAGTTCAAGACCAACCTGGCTAAGATGGTGAAACCTCGTCTCTACCAAAAATACAAAAAAATTAGCTGGGCCTGGTGGCATGTGCCTGTAATCCCAGCTATTTGGGAAGCTGAGGCAGAGAATTTCTTAAACCTGGGAGGCAGAGGTTGCAGTGAGCCGAGATCATGCCACTGCACTCCAGCCTGGGCGACAGAGCAAGACTCTGTCTCAAAAAAAAAAAAAAAAAAGATGGCACAGAATCCTTCTTGTAACCTTGTGCAGGTCAGTTTCCTCTCCCGGGTCTTCAGTTTCCTCAGTTATAAAGTAGGTATTATGATTCCTTAGGACTCCTTAGCTCAGAAATATGAGGGAAATAAAAACCAGGAAGAGTAAAGCTAATTTCTTCCTGACCCCTACTCTCCAACCCCCACCCAGGGCTATTAACTTGGCTCTTAAGCCCTGGCCTTGGCTACCTGGAGTTTCTGGGGTGAGATCTTTGTTTGTTGTGAGTTGAACAGAAACAAAGCTATGATTTGTCTCACTGTGAGGACCCACTGTTTCAAGCCATAGAACACAGCCCTAGTGAGATTGAGACCATGTTCCTTGCTAAATCAAAGCAACAGACTTTTTTTGAGTGCCTACCGTGCACCAGGACCTGTTTGGGTCATATGAAGGCTGAGGATGACAAAGACATAGTCTCTGCCATGGGCAGAGGGCTTGGTGGGCATGGAGCTGCCTGACCATCTGCTCTTGAACCCTCTAGGACAGCGGCCCCCAACGTTTTTGGCACTAGGGACTAATTTTGTGGAAGAAAATTTTTCCAGGGGAGGGGGGGATGGTTTTGGGGTGAAACTGTTCTACCTCATATCAGGTTTAGATTCTCATAAGGAGTGTGCAACCTAGATCCCTAGCACACACAGTTCACAGTAGGGTTTGTGATCCTATGAGAATCTGATGTCCCTGCTGATCTGAGAGGATGTGGAGCTCAGGTGGTTATATGGTTGCTTGCCTGCTGCTCACATCCTGCTGTGTGGCCCATTTCCGAACAGACCACAGACTAGTGCTAGTCCATGGCTGGGGGCTGGGGACCCCTGCCCTAGGAGGCCACCTGAATCCTAGAGAGCCGTGATGGGGGCACATTCCCTTTTGAGGCTCTAGTTTCTTTGTTGTAATAATGAAAGGGTTCATTTAAGTGGCTTCACAGTTATGTACCATTGTGCTGAACTCAGGAGACAGTTAATAATATATTAAGCCCTGTCCTCCAGGAATCTTCTAGCTATGACTTTATGTTTCTGGGGTCCTTAGTCTCAGGTTCAGAGTAGGGGCCTTTTAAAATCTTTTGCCATTTTAGGAATTCCCTTCTTTTATATTTTTTGCCCAATATAAGTTTTTCCCTTTTTTGCTTTCCTTCTTGTATACCTCCACCCTTCCTCACACAAAGCCATTAATACTAACTGACTTCTCAGGCTCTGCCATGTTGTGGCTCAGAACTGAGGCCCACTCTGGTAAGGCAGATGGTTCATCAAGGCTGATTTGGAGTAATTGAGTTCTTACATATGCTGGTCAGTGGCACCTACATCATTGGACGAGGAAAACCCTAGACATGGCACATCCACTGCTCCCCTGCCTCAGGCAGATGGGAGTTTCAAGACTCTCACTCCCTACCTACATCAGGAGACAATGGGATTGACATCTAGTAGAATTCTTCTCTTTCTGCTCTCCCATTCCCTTCACCAAACCCTTGACAAAATTCTGTTGTTGGAAGAAACTTGGTCCTTCTAGTAGCTTATTTCTTCACACTCAAAGTATTTGGTGACTATAGTCACTTTTAGGGGAACACTAGAAGTGAGTCTGAGTTTCCCATTAGTTGTGAAAATATCTCTTTGGGAAAGATGATTTAAGGACAAATCTGTGATTACGTGGTTTGAAGACAGCCCTGAGAGCCTCTTCCTGAATAAAGCCCTCATGAGGGTACAGAAAGGATTAAGAGGGTTAAGAGCTACTTCACTGGTTTTAAGCAAATGGCATTTAAACGTTTTCCATCTGTCTTTAAAAGCTTTACTGTTCACTAGTCAGAGTGGTGACATTTGCCTGTATTTGGGAGGCGGAGGTGGGAGAATCACTTGAGCCCAGGAGTTTGAGGCTACAGTGAGCTATGATTGGGCCACTGCACTCCAGCCTGAGCTACTGAGAGAAACCTGGTCTCTAAAAAAAAAAAGCCATAATTGTCAGTGATTTTCTAGACAGTGCTGACCTGTTCATTGTTGGAAAAGTACAGTAATTACTGTACATGTAATAGTTTAAAAATCTTGAATCTTTCTCCCCAGGACTAGGGGATTTAGAGAAGGTAGAGTGAGGATATCTGAGGGGGAAAGAAAAAAGGCGTCAAAGAGATCAATTCCCAAGGTAATTTCAAGAACTGGGTAATTTCTGCCCTTCCTGGCCAGCTTGAACTTTCAGGTTATCTGCCGTCATCGTGAAAACTGAGGTGTAAGAGAGCTGGGGAGGGTGCCATGCTGTGTGACCCTCCTCCAAAGACCTCCTCCTTCCACTTGTGTACAGAGGGAAGAGTAAAAAGACCTCCACACAGCCCACCCCGTCCACCGTCTTTGCTCCAAAAGTGTCTACCCCCGAAGTACCGACACCGGAAGCCATATCCTCGGTGCACTCAACGCTGCCGACCCTTGTGTCCCGGCCTGGAAGTGCCCACCCTCCCAGTGACGCCGAGCAGAAGTTCCGGAAGAAGCGGAGGCGACCACGGCGGAGGCAGCGACTCGGACAGTTCAGCGATCTGTGGGTCCGCCTGGAGGAGAGGTCAGGCGAGTAGGCCGGGTCGGGTTGGCATCCACCTTTACCCTAGTGAGCGGAGCCAGGAATGCCCCTCACACTGGTTGCAATGGGAACCCCCCTCATGGAGCAACCTTTCCCTTTCCTCATGACCCCAGGCACCCTTTTTCTGTCCACTGTGACAGAAGTGAATCCAGATTTAAGGTAGTTGCTTCAAGCCAGGGCAAGGGCAACATGTTTATGCTTGTTAAAGAACAAGTTTCCGGGTAGGATGAGTCTGTTAAAAGTGGAAGGCATCTGGAAAGGTTGCAAATAACTTGATTTTTCAGATCTTTCTCCATGGCAGATTTAGGGAGAGTGCCATAGATTTGCAGAGCTGTAAGCAGCTCGGTGGGAATGGGCATGTTTAACTCCCATTGTAAGGGAAGAGTTGTGACCCTACACTGAATGTAGTCTCAGAGATGGCTGGGGAGTAGATCAGAGGTGGATAGGCAAGCCTGAGTCCGCAGGGCACAAGGCTTCTGGACCAACTACCCCAGAGAGGTGGGGAGCAGGAATCCAGTTAAATTAATCTCAGGTTTATTGAGTCCCTCCTTTGTGCCTGCTGTTGTGTTGGATGCTGTGTGTATGGGGCCAATCAGACACAGGCCCTGCCTTCATGGAACTTGCAGTCTGGTGAGGAAAATGGATTTTTGAGTAGATAATCTGCAGTGGAAGTGTAAGGTGCTGTGGGTGTGTGTGTTTGTGGTGCATGGGGTGTGTGTGTGTGTGTGTGTGTTGGAGGTTACTACTTAGGGTCAGAGGTCAGGAAAGTCTTCCCTTGAGGAAGCATCCTTTTGGCTTATACTGACTAGAAGCCAAAGTGGAACCTTGTGAATAGAGCTTCTGAGTCTGGATCAGTAGATTCAGGGATCCAGTGCCTGCACAGGTGCTTAATAAATGTAGAATGAGTAAGTGAGTGAGTGAACAACTGAGTAGGGAAGGGGAAGAGTTGAGGGCAGAGGGAACAATGTGAAAGTCTGGTTGGAGGGAACGATTGTGTTAAAGAAGCCGAGATAAAGTAATTCTGACTGGGGCCTGGGAAGTGAAGGAGTAGTGAGGTGAGATGTGTCTAGAGAGGTAAACAGGGAGGAAAGTGGGAGCCATTGAAAGGTTTGAAGCAGACATGTGAGATGCTGTGTGATTTGCATTGTAAATGGACAGAAGCTGGCAGCCAGATGGGACCTGGAGAACAGGGACAGCTTCTGATGGTGTTCATGTCCCACGGTGACTCATGAACTATCCTCCATTGACAGAGAAATAAATTGACCTGTTTAGTACTTTTTCCAACAAGGCCATTGGTGGCCACGGGGTTGGGCATTTTATACCTCAGCTAAGGTGAAAGATCTGGGTAAGCCTGAGGTCATGGGTCCCTCAGCTTGAACTGTCTTGACCTGGTATGCCTACATGCTGTGCACATCAGGCCTGGACTTGGGCAGGTGAGAGAGCCAGAGACCCAGGGAGGAATCTGCATGGTCTGGCTCTGCCTCTGTGGTGGCCAGTGAGGAGGGTCCCTGCCTAAGATTGCCCAGAGGCTAGTGATTAGCAAACTTTGAATTGGGCCTTATATGAAGACTTTCACTAATCTTTGAATGAAGAACCAAATAGCCAGGGACAGTTGGCTAGTCTGCTGGTCTTAATATCCTCTGCCATTTGGTTTTCTGGTAGCAGTGGCCAAAGACATGAAAGAGGACCAGAGATATAGGAAGCCTATTAACATACTAATACCCATTCCTTTCTTTAAGGAGGGGAGATGAAGAGAAGCTGTGTGAACATTTGGGGGCCTTGGCGTGTGCAGTGGTTTCTGCTGTGCCTTCAGACTCTGTCTTTCTCTTTGCCTCCTAGTGACGTGGTCCCGCAACTCCAGGTCCGTGTCCTGGACAGGCACATCTCCACTGAGCTGCAGTTCCCTCGCCATGGGCATTCCCACCACAGCCAGATGGTGGCCAGCAGTGCCTGCCTGTCTCTCTGGACTCCTGTGTTCTGGGTGCTGGTGCTGGCTTTCCAAACAGAGACACCTCTCCTGTAACGACCAGAAGTACCGGGCTAATACCCTGACCCCTTGGACTTGAAGGATGGCCATTCCTGTACTCCACATTCTGGTCTAGCCTTGTTGGGCCCAATCCAACACTGAAAAAGAAGCCCAGTGTTGATTCTTCTCTTTCCAAGGAATGAGACTTTGGGTTATCCAACTTTGGGGGGAGGTGTACAGTTTTGTAACATAATGAGTTGTGTGAAAATAAATTATAAATGAGTTGTATGAAAATAAAACCCTTTTTTTTGTGTAGATTTTTATTCATGATGTGTATATATCAGGCAGACAACTTCTCTCACACCCTAAATCCTTTCACTGCTTCCCCCTAGGCCCTGCACTTCTCAGCTGCAGCTCTGATCCCTTCCGGCCCTGGCTTTGTATCCTGACCCTTTCCTCTTTCTGCTCCCTTTCTTTGTGCCACTCTTGGTTCTGGATGCAGGGGAGTCAGTGGGCCATGGAACTTGTGGTCTGCACCTCTCTATTCAAGCTCTGGTGAATAGGGTGCTCCCTGTGCCCTAAGAGATGCTTTCATTTTGTATAATGTGTGTGTCTCACTGGGGGGGTGGGGGGGAGTGGGTAGGCTTTGTCAGAGGTGCTGTGCAAGAAAGTGGTTTTCAAACTACCCCCAATCCCCATCTTGTTATTTATTATTCACATGTTTATTGTAAATGTCTTTTCTAAATACAAATCTTATTGGGACTCTCTCTATAAAATGTGTAAGAGTAGAACTTCCCCAGTTGAATCTGAAATGGGAGCTTTTAACCCTGCCCAGGTGATCTCTCTCCCCTAACCACCATAGTTCCAGATCAGGGTCTCCCACCTGTGGCAAGCGTCCTTTATGGTCCTGGGCTTCTGAGTAGCCCACAAAAACCCTAGATAGAATGTCTGTCCAGGGCTTGGGTGGAGTCAATAAGAAGTAGTTATATTTGTTCCCTAATCTGGCTTAGGGTAAGGCTGATTGTCTGGATTTGTAGCTCTGGCTTCCCTTCCTTTTCTGAGGCTTTTGTGGGTTCATGCTCAGTTATTTCCAGGGCCCAGAAGATCTCAGTGGCCTTACTGAAACAGTAGTGTGGTGGCACTTAGGATCCATGTCCACCACTTTGGTTCCATTCTGCACCATCTGTATTGCAGGTGTAGGTGGGCAAAAACTCCCAAATCCCCCTGCTGCTGTGTTCGATTCTCCTAATGAGATACACTCATGGGATATTTGGAAAACAAAAGTGGGCAGAGGTAGCTTTTCTTGAGCAGGGGGCATGGTTATGTACAGGCTTCAGCAGACACAAGTTTGTGCAGTTGTCAGTCTCTGCAGCCCCCTCTATTCCCCTGCTTCAGCGTGGAGTAGCTGTGAGGTTGGCACAATTTTTCCTTCAGGGTTCCCACCTTGGAGTACAGATGGTGTGATGCCTGATATCAACTCTTTGACTTCTGCAGCGGCAGCCATTCCTGTGACCATGTTAGCAACTATTTCTGCTTGAAATACCAAGAGTAGTTTCTGATTTGTGCACTGATTTCTGGCAAAAGTGCTGTTACCTGCTTCTCTGCGACTTGAATCTGCTCTTAACTTCGATAGGTATGGGGATGGAGCGGGGAGGCAGAGATACACTGGGAGGCCTGACTCCATTCCTCCAATTCTTTGTAAGAGGGTGGTGTGGCTCCCACCAAGGGCTCAATCCTAGCTGGGTGATTTCCTTGTTTTTTGGATCACATTATGGCCGAGGAAGCAGGCAGACCATTATTGGCAGGACCGACGCAAGGTGGTTTGTCACACTGGCTGCTCCACTTGAGAACTGAGCCACCAATCTCTGCTTTTGAGGTGGCAGAGGCTCAGATGCACCTGACTGGGACTTGGTTAGTTTTCATACAGAAACATCCTAAAGTGGAAGGGGAAAATCCTCCATACTTGGGCAGGATTGGCCTGCCCTTTTATGAAAGCATAGGCTCTTCCAAGGATTCTGATGCAGCCCCACAGAACGGGGAACTGACATCATAGGCCAACTTCTTATTATCCTGCTCATTTGCTCTACCAGTTGTGCTCACCGCATCAACCTCCCACGCACTGGACTCTGAGAGCCTTAATCTAGTCTAGAAATGGAAGCACCTGGGGCCTTTCATATCAGCGTGAAGAGGAAAGGAGCCTGTGAGGGGAAGCGAGTGCTGAGTCCTGACTCTTCCTGGGGGTCCCAGAAAGTAACTGATGGGAAGCTGCCTCTCACTTAGGGTTGGGGAGCAGGTTTAACAGGTGGGTGTTGAACCCACTGCTTCTAGAGTGGAGCTTGGATTGCCAACAGAAAGAACTCAAACACTTTATTTTAAGGACATAAGAGAAATAAAAGTCACACTTAATACCTTTAAGTCAAATCAGAATTAACACCTTTTTGCTCACATATAAGTTATTCAAATCTTTTGCTCCCATTAGGAAAGATCTCGGGCCTGGTTCTCTTTTAGTGCTGAGGTGGCACCTTTTCATTCACTCAGCTGGCAGAGCAAAGCTGATCCCTTGGCAATCCAGTAGTCTTTGGACCGCTTGGAGGGTAAGAGGACGGTTACCACAAAGTTGGTTGAATGTCCTAATTAAGGATATAGGAAAAAAAGGGTTGTTACTTAGAGAATAACTTCCTCATACAGAGAGGCTACAAAGAGTCGAGACATCTGGGATCCAGTCCTAACTGGACAAAGAGTCCTTTATGGGTCGTTTTATGCTTTATAAAATGAAGATTTTAGAACAAATAATTCTTTAGGACTCGTCCAGCTTAGACTTCATAGAACTTTTTTTTTCTTTTTTTTTTTTTTTGAGACAGGGCCTCACTCTATCACCCAGGCTGGAAGTACAGTGGCACGATCTCAGCTTGCTGCAACGTCTGCCCTCCTGGGTTCAAGTGATTCTCCTACCTCAGCCTCTTGAGTAGCTGGGGCTATAGACGCATACCACCATGCCTGGCTACTTTTTGTATATTTAGTAGAGGCGGGGTTTCACTAGTTGGCTAGGCTGGTCTCAAACTCCTGGCCTCAAATGATCCACCTGCCTTGGCCTCCCAAAGTGCTGGGATTACAGGCATGACCCACTGTGCCCGGCCTAATAATTTCTTAATAACCAGGATTCAAATGTGTTTCATATCTTGCAACAGTGATGTGTCTCTTAAATCTTTCAATTGGTAAGTTTCCCTCTGCTTCTTTTGCTGCTCCCTTGTAATATATTTGTTGAAACAACCAGACTGTTTATCCTGTTAAGTTTCCCAGAATCTGGATTTTGATGACAGCATTGCTGTGGTGATTTTAAATATATTCCTCTCTTCCTGTAAGGGGAGGTTAGATCTAGAGGCATGACTACACTCAGGTTTGAGGTTTTTTTTCCTTTTTTTTTTTGTTTTTTTTTGAGACAGGGTCTCATTCTTTTGCCCAGGCTGGAGTGCAGTGGTTTGATTATGGCTCACTGCAGACTTGAACTTCTGGACTCAAGTAATCCTCCTGCCTCAGTCTCCCAAGCAGCTGGGATTACAGGCGTGTGCACCACACCTTGCTAATTTTTGTATTTTTTGTAGAGACAGGGTTTCGCCATCTTGCCCAGGCTAGCAGGTTTGTTTTACGGCAAGAATACTTCTTTGGTAGTACGTACTCCTATCAGGAAGCACACTATGATTGTCTTTCTTTTTTGGGATATTAGTGGCCATTGATGACTACTACATAGGACTATCCCTCCTTTAAATAGCTGAAAAAGAGTTTCTTTTGATCCTCGTACAAGATGGGGTTTCTGTCACAGTTTCAGATAAGGTTAGGTTGTTGGTCCTCTCTCCCAGATTTGTAAGAATTCTTTATTCCAGGCTTCTATAGTTTGGGTGTTTGATCCCTCCAAATCTCATGTTGAGATTTGATCCCCAGTGTTGGAGATGCGGCTTAATGGAAGGTGTTTGGGTGATGGGGGTCAGATCCCTGATGAGTAGATTAATACTCCTTGGAATGGGGGGTGAGCTGTCACTTTATTAGTTCTTGCGAGAGCTGCTTAAAAAGAGTCTGGCGCCTCCCTCCCATCTTGCCTGCTTCCTTTCTTGCCATGGGATCTCTATGCACCAGCTCCCTTTTGCCTTCTGCTATGAGTGGAAGCAGTTTAAGGCCCCCACCAGAAGCAGATGCTGGCACCAGCCTGCATAACCATGAGCCAAATAAACTTTTCTTTACAGTTACTCAGCCTCAGGTATTCCTTTATAACAACACAAACACAAACAAACTAAGACAGCTGGATTTTTTTTTTTTTAATTGAGATGGGGGTTTCACTAGGTTGCCCAGGCTGGTGTTGAACTCTGGGGCTCAAGTGATCCTCCCACATTAGTCTCTTGAGTAGCTGGGACTACAGGCACGTGATACCACACCTGGCCAGACAGCTGGATTTTTTTCAAAATAGAAGGTCAGTGATGATGAATTTAAAGCATTTGTATGTTCAAAACTGTCTTTATTCACTTCCCTTTTGGAAGATGGTTTGGTTGTGTTTTGAATTCTGGTTCAAAGGTATTTTCCCTCAACCCTTTGAGGCTGATTCTCCATTATCTTTTTATATGCACTGTGGATAATGAGAGTTGACTGGTATCAATCTGATTCTCATTCTCTGGGATTTCAGTTCCAGCATATATTATACATTGTCTCTTCTCTTTGGTTATTTTGAGAATTTTTTTTTTTTGTCTCTGACAGTCTTAAGTATCACTTTGGTATATCTAGGTTTCTTTGAAGATTTGATTACTTGTTGTATGTTGCTAAAAATCATTCCTTCCACTTTATGAGACCTCATAATCTAAGGATTCAAGTGTTTCTTTAGTTTTGGGAAATTACCAGCCATTATTTTTTCAAACATTCTCTCTCCTCCATTCTTTATTTTCTCCTTCCAGGTTGCCTAGAAAACTAGAAAAGTGTTGCAAATTCTGGCTCCTCCCACAGGGTCACTTCTTTCCCCTCTCACTATGCTGTATTCAAGGCGACTTTCCCAGTTCATTTTCTCTGTTCATTCTTCAGCTGTCCCTCAGTGTATCTGTTGAGGTGGCTTTCTTTCTGTCTGCTTTCTTTTTTCAGAGCTGTATCTCAGTTTCAGATCCACTCAGAGTTTTACATCAGGGCTTTCCATTTATTCATTTGTTTATTTATTTATTTGTGATGGAGTTTTCGCTCTTGTTACCTAGGCTGGAGTACAGTGGTCCAATCTCGGCTCACTGCAACCTCTGCCTCCCAAGTTCAAATGATTCTCCTGCCTCAGCTTCCCAAGTAGCTGT